CCTGCTCGCCAAGCCGCTGTTCGGCCGCCTGGCGGGCAAGCCACCTGAAAAAACGGCGGCGGCCCCAATCAGCCAAGCTAGCAAGCTGCAGATATGCTTGGTTGACGTTGGAAGGGGAGCAAAAATTTAAATCTTAGCAGTCAAGTGGTTGGATTTCCCACTAAACCACAATAAGCAAAAATGTAAAATGTTTCCCAACAACAACCATGTATGTGCACCAACTCTCCGTCCAATGCAAGAGAACAGGAAGGTTTTTTGGAAGAGCACCTTCGATTTCAAATGCCTGGAAAACTCCCAAAGCCAAAAAGGATACAAGAGCACCTTGGGAGCTCGCTTTGCTCCAACCTTGATTCGACGACCCGGCCAAAATCTCCAGCTCCATTCTTGGAAGAAAAAGAAAAAAGGGCCGGAGGGGCCGCAGCGGCGGGGCATTTTTTTTTTCAGCTGAAGGACTCTGGTAGAAGTTGAAGACCTCCTCCAGGAACATGTCGCAGAAGGCCTCGAAGTCTCTGAGTCTCTGAGCCCTTGCGGTCTTTCGGTCTTTTGGCTACCGGTTCCCATCGTTTGGTGGAAGAACGGCTCATTTTTTGAGAGGGCTCTCGGTGGCGAAATCTGCCCCCCCCAAAAGTGACCGACTTTCAGTGGTTTAGTACGGAAAACCCCTTACTTGGAGAAAAGTTAAAGTCCTAACATCCTTTGGCAACATGCACCAAACATTTCCCATATGTGGATGCACAGCGTTCAACTGACGAACTTCGAGCCCAAACAACTCGCCAGGACGCGTCTGTGATGAGCTTGAAGGAGTACCTCGGCTGAAAGGCGACGGGCAATGAGTGGTTCTTTTGGGTGCCCTTTTTCGGGGGCAATTTCAAGGGAAGCGAAAAGGAAAACCATCATCTGACAGAGGTCCCTGATGTGTTTCACCCCTACCGAAACCGAGTGAGGCTTCATCTCCAAGTAGGATTTGGAACCATTCCTGCGAGATGGAGCTTTGGTTGCAACCTAAAACCGCCAACTCGACCAAAGGTGCCAAACCAAAGTTACCAAGGGTGCCAACCTCGCACCAAAACGGATCCATAGAGAACTGCGCGCAAGCATTCGCCCATTCTCCGGCCTTCCGTCCAAATGAAAATGAAAGGAGCCAAAACATCCTCGCCACTCTTTTTTACCCATGACCTCCAGTGCCTGTTTTGTGCGTCCTGTTTCTTGGGCTCCACTTCGAGGTAAACCGTGCGCTTGTCCAAAGCAAACCAAGCCAGCTCGAGCCCGACGCACATCTATTTCCGGAAACTGCAATGTTTCTCTTTCTACGATTCTACGACTTCCAGTGGGTGTCTTGTTATACTGTTGTGTGGCTTTGGGTCAAAAATAGGTATCCAACATGGAACCCTGGCAAATGGAAACCTGGACTCAAACCTGCGGTCCCCTGCCCTGGCGGCTGAATTTTGACCCATACCCATGTCTTCCTCTTTGGCTCTCCCGACTCTCCTTGCCCCGGCTTCTCTTTGCTCCACGGTGCACTCCGGGCATGTGCTCGGCGACCAGCTGTCGCCAGGCCTCCGGGCTGTTCTGCTTCCTGGCCTGCGGGCAGAATCTGGGCTCATGTTCGAGGCCGACCCTGGTCGCTTCGAAGGGTGACTCCAAGGAAATAGAAACACAACTTTGCTTGGACCCTGTATGTTAAGACACTTGTAGTATGCAGTTCTCAAAAAGCAGGTGGGACAATTCGCGGTTTTGTCCGATCTCACTCATATCTTCACCAGGAATGCATGAGATTTTGGACTGGCAGCCACAGGGCAAAGAGAAGTGGGGTCACCAGACGTCTCCCTCAAAACGTTATCAAAGCGTGCAAATTGCCAGGGAGCTTGTCTCGATCGCCACTTCGAGGTCCAACAAAAAGAGGGGACAAAGAATTGCCGTGTCTCCGTGCTGTTGAAGATGCCTTGAGGGCGTGGGGGCTTGGCTCGGCTCCCAGTTGCTCAGTCGATCAGTCATGAACCAGGCGATGTCTGGCCGCTCGCCTTTGGAACTCGACCTGTTCCGCCAGAAGCAAAAACCGCTTTGAGATTCACATATCATTCAAAAAAATATACACCAGCATACACCCCAGCTAGCACCTCAAGCAACACCCCAAAACAGCATCCCAAAACAGCACCTGCGCAAGAATATCTTTGAAAGAAAACATGAGAAAATGGGGACAAAACACAAAGGGGATGTCTCGAACTAGGACTTGGAGCCTCTGGAAGGGTCGGCTCCCTGTTTGCAGCAACCTCAAAAGATGCACCCCAGCCTGGACGAAGGCTGGCTCTAGCCACTCATCCTTCCACTTTCCGCGAAATAGGTCTGCATGAAGCGCCTGCGGTCTGTACCTCCATAGGCGTCGTTCGCCGAGGCACTGAGTGCCCGTTTTGGGGCTTGTTTTAAAGGACCACCCTTCAAGGTCCCGTTTGAGAACACACCCATCAGGATAGGAACCGAGCGCTGGACACATCGAATAGCCCTTGGCCGGAGATTGAGGACTCTGTGTTCCTGTAACTCTAGGGGTACCTTCCCCATTCTTTCCAGGGATCCTTCCTTTCAGGAAACCCTCAAAAACCCAGGGGAAACAGCCGGTTTTTTCAAAGAACGATGGTTGAAAAGAATGGGGAATCAACCCCTAGAGTAATGCCTTTTTTCCGGCCCAAGGGTCAACACATGCTCAGAGTTGGAAAACCCTATGCGGGCTCGCAGACAACTCGGTTCACATAGTGGCACGCTGACGTGACACAAGATCTCAAGTCGTGCGAGCACCTCGTGCAAGCAAGTCGTGCAAGGGGGCACTTGCGAATGATCTCCAAACGCTCTGCATTCATCTTCCGGTGGATGTCTAGAGACTCAGCGCAATGTTGATCGAGGCACGTATGTCTTTGTTTGAGGCTACCCCCCGTTTTGGTTAGCAAAAGACACACCAATATGATTCGCAACAGGAAACTTTCGGAATCCCCAAGCAAAAAAGAGACCTTCGTCACGAGTTGTTGCTCGGTTCGTCCCAATGTGCTGGCTATGCCGAGTGAAACAGCTCAAAGAACATCCTCTCTGCACGCTCGAGGATTGCGGATCCCCAAAAAAAACAAAAAACATGCCCCAAAAACCGGGGACTTGCGGATCCCCATTGGACCTTTCTCAGTTTTCGCCTGGGCGAAATCGCCCCCGGAAAGGAACGGAAGCGCCTCCCTGCGAAATCGGCGGATCGATCCTCTGCCAATAGCTCCTTTTCCTCGAGCTTTTTCGTGACTGGCACACTGCTCTCTTCCTTCTCTTCAAAAAGGGCAGTCCCACTAAAAACACTCCCAAAAATGGGCCGATGCCCGGGGATGGATGGTTTCTGCAGCGTTTTTGGGGGAACCAAGCCAGTTCTCAGCTCAGCGCTCGCTGGAACTTCTCCGGGAGACGCTCCTCAGCGTTCGGTCCCCGCGTTTTTGCAGCTCGGTTTCCCTTTTCAGGTTGGATTTTTGAGGGAAGCCAAAAGGAAACCATCTCCTTTTTTGAGACACAGCCATATGGTCTGCAAGTGTTACTGTAACCCACATGAAACTAGGTGGATGAGCTACTTTTTTGGTGGTCATGATCGCGACCAGCGTGAATATCCCCTTGCAGAAACTGCGGGCGAGCGCGAATCAACTCGTTCTGGGTTCAACAAAGCCTTGTCTTAGCCCGAGAGACAAGGCCAACATGCAGCTCGGGGATTCAAAATCTGCTGACTCTGAGGCATGCGCTGCCGGCAGCTTCCATGAAGCAAAGGGCTCGACAAGGAAGTTGTGGATGGCCTGCGTCGCAGTCCAATCCAAAGAAATCAATGACGATAACCAAATTCGAGTCTTCTCCGAAGTGGCCCCTGAAAATGGCGGGTGTCCTGCGATCCGAACTTGCTGGTTCTCAAGAATGAGTAGGGGTTTCCCACCAAGTATCATCCAAAAGGGGCCCGCCATTCTTTGAAACATCCCTGCGTGGCAAGCTCGCGCAAGCCCGGCCTGAACTGTGAGACGCAATGTGCAGGCGTCTCGCTCATCCCTGCACGGAAGAAAACAAAAATGCATTCGGCCACCAAATGAGGCTACAAAGTCTATCCCAGTGCTTCCAGTTACCACTTTTGTAGGTAACCAGGAAAAACCAAGTAGAACCTAGAGGTGGCGTACCCCACAAATTGGAAGCACTGGGTATTTGCGGAAAATGCGACTTCCAGCAGCCACCTCTCCCAGCCTCGGCAGTGCGCGGTAGAATGGCATCAGCATTGCTCCGTTGTCATCCGTCAGGGCATGATGAAACCTTGGCAAGCACACGTGTGTGTATTTGTGCTTGTCTTTGTGTGCGCTCGTTCAGTCTGTTTAAGCGCCTGGTCTTAGGTTGAAACCAGCCGCGACACCACCCATTTTGGCGGGCCCAACACCCCAAGTTGGGCTAGCCATATCTTCCCCTGATCCATGAGGACTGGAAGTGACCGACATAGCCCAGACAAAATTGCTTGAGAGGTGGTTACAAGGCTGGGATGACACAAAGCGAGCACAAAGACCTGCCACAATGAACTTCTTGAGGGGTTGAGGTTTGCGTTGCACACTTATCCCAGGAAATGCGAAAATCGGGTTGGGCTTCGCCCCTAGCTTTCGGAGTTGGAAACTCTGGCCCCGCCCTTCTCGTCCAAGTACCACGCTTATCAGTTGCTCATGTGCTTGTCGCAAAGATGGGGGACGCCCTCAGCCTCCCTTGGCCCCATGTCAGCACGTTGTTCAGAAACCTCCACATCCAGACCCGCAGGGAGTCCCAGCCTTTCTCGTGCACGCAGCACGCATCTGAGCCCCTGGCACACCTCTGAAGCGCACCAGGGGCAGCTTGGCAGGCCAAAGGTCTGGGTCGAAGCGCAAGTTCACCTGAGGCACGCTGGTTCTTTCGCTTGGACCCAAGGAGAGAATCCGCAAATGAATTTGGGGCTGCGATTTTGACCAAACCCCCGGCTCACTTCAAAGATTTTGTTTGGCAAGGCTCACTTTAAAGACCCTCAGCACCAGTGGGCTACTGGTTTCTTCAGGGTGGGCTTAGGGTTGCCTGGTTTTGTGGCGGTAGGCTTAGGGTTGGTACAGGGTTTGCTCAAGGTTTGTGTGGGGGGGTTGGCTTAGCGCTGGCATAGAGTGGCTTGAGGGCTGGCTTAGAATTGGTTACTAGTTGGTTTAGAGTTGGTTTAGAGTTGGTGTAGAGTTGGTTTAGACCACGGCGGATTGAGGGATGGTTTAGCGCTGGTTTGGTTGGCTTAGGGTGGTCGAGGGTAGATTTATGGTTGGTCAAGGGTGCGGCCGTCACGTCCCATCGACGACCGACTTTTCAAACTGGGCGAAGCCCGCAAGGATACAGCTCAGCTGCAAACGCTCTGCTGCGCCAGCCACCATCACCCGCGCCCGCTGCTACGAAACGGCCGACCAGCATCTGCGCGGGGTTTAGAGCGGGTTTAGGTTGGTTTTAGGGTTGGTTTGGGCGGGTTTTAGGTTTGGTGGGTTTGGGCTGAGGGCGTTTCTTTAGGGTTCGCTCAGGGCTGGGGAGTTGGGTTTGCCTTTTAAGGCCCAAGACGAACTACGGCCCTTTTTTCGAAGCGAGGGGGCAGGGGGGGAAGGGGTAGCCCATGGTAATGCTGTGGGGTGTTGCGGCCACTTCCCTTTATGTCCTTTTGATGTCTAAACCCACCAAAAAGGGAAAGATAGGGCGCCCGGCGACAGGTGTCAAGCTGCTAACCATTCCAAGTAACCCCAAGTAGAAAGGTCGATACACCGTGGCAAGTTGGTCAAAATACAAACCTGGTAGGGGAGTCAAGCCCACATCCTTTCAAATTGATCAAAAGGCCGGGTTGGGATTGTCCCTTACCAGCCTTCGTGTCTCGGGCTTAAAGAAACGAATAACCAACCTCTCCGGGCAATGGGGCCCCAGAAATGAAATATGCTTGACGGCTTCGGCTGACGGGGGCCCAGGCTTGCCCAGACTTCCCGGGCCCAGTCCTGCACATCTCCTTTTCGCGCCCTGCCACCGAATCCCAAGGTTCGAAAGGGAGGAACCTTCGATCAGGGTGGGGAAATCGAACCTTTCTCTGACTGGCAATTGCTTTGTTGCTTCATTGCTCAGGCGTAGTTGTTTGAGGCTACCACTTTTGCGGGAAAAAGTCGGGAAACTGGGGCAGGCACCCGGCAGGGCGTGCCGTAGGCTTCATCGCCCTCTGCGCCCGAGACACAGAGCAGCAAATCCTCGGGTGTGGAGTTGTTTCTTTTTTTTGGGGGGGGCTCATCTTTTTTGAGGGTACACCTTTTTGGATGGTTTTGTTTGCAAAAGGAAATTACTGTGGAGGCCCCAAGCCTTATTTTGAGACGCACCCGTGTCGCGGTTTTCCTCCACCCCAAAACACACACGCTGCACGTCTATTGTTGTGCTTGGTTCTGCACGGATTTGGAGCTGCTCCATCACCAACTTTGGCAAAGCAAGCACTTTGGGTTGGCATCTTCCAGCGAGCTAAGTCTAGCTCGCATGTAATTTGGGTTTTCTGCCCGTTGTGACTCGGATCGCTCTCTCTCTCTCTCTCTCGCTGTGGTCCCGTGCGAATCTTCGCGGTTCGCGCGCGAGCGTGCGTGTCAGATCACTCTCGCTGTGGCCCCGTGCGAATCTTCGCGGTCTGCGCGCGACCGTCTGCAGGGATCAAGCTGCAAAGTCGCAATTTTGAAGTGGAGAAGTAATACGGGAAGTACGTCCCCGCAGCTCCGGCTGCAAAGTCGCAACTTGAAGTACAAAATACGCGAAGTACGTCCCCGCAGCTACGGCTGCAAAGTCGTAACTTTTACGTGCAAAAGCAATACGCGAAGTACGTCCCCGCAGCTCCGGCTGCAGAGTCGTAACTTTTAAGTACAAAAGTAGCACGCGAAGCACGTTCCCGCAGCTCCAGCTGCATAGTCGCAACTTTCATGTTCAATAGTAGTACGCATGGCGCGCTCCCGCAGCTTCGGCTGAAACATCAGAGTTTTCAAGTTCACAAGTGGTACGCGAAGTACATCGCGCATCGACGTGTCCGTCCAGCTGCAACCTGAAACAAGAACAGACGTCAGCTGCGTGCGCAAAGCAACACGCAGTGCTCGCGTTGGAAAGGTGGAAAACATGGACCGATACAGGCTGCGTGTCATGGGAAATGCTTTCGGGCCACCCGTCTTCTAGTTGTCAAAAAGAGACTGGAGACTGCACACCTGAAGGCAGTCTGAACATCTAGTCACTCTGGGTAGCGCGTGGACAGGGCCGAAGTGACTGGGTTCTGCAACACAGGCTGCCAAAGCAGTCAAAGGTCGCTCCCGTCTTGCACGTGCCTCTCAGAACTGGAATCTCCTCCATAAAAGAAAGCTGCTGGAACCTCCCAAGCCGCGCGGCAACTTTGCCTCAGTGACGCGTCAGCCACAAACAGTGCGCATATGCACTTCCCTTGCTTTTTCGCTCTCGCGCAAAAGGCTGACCTATGCTCAACATGCACCTGTTTGTGCACAAGCACGCTACGTACTTTGGACATCTCGTCAAAGTGAAGAGAGTCAGCGAGTCGCACGTGCTGCCTGATGTCCATCTACGTAGCAGGCGCGGATTGTCCCACGGCCCATGTCTCTGCGACACCATGACGCCATGTAGGGCATTGCTTGCGAAGTGCAGCGGCTGCACTTTGCCGGGTCCACCAAGGTTGCCGGACTTCACTCAGCGCTCGCGGCAGCGCGCGAATACGCTTGTACAAGGCTTCGCTTGCATGACTTTGCTATAGGCTATAGCATTTCTGTAAGGTTTACCTCCAGTCTGGCGACAGGTGTGAGTTGGGAGCAGCTACTGCTGCTCTGCGACACAGATTGCTGCATGGAATTGTCAGTCACAAAAGAAGAGACTGGCTGATTTTTGGGGACGAGCAACTGAGCACCCTTGTATTGAAATGGAGGAAGTCGCCCTGCAAAGGTGGGGCGAGTGGGTTCACTGTCTATCAGAGGGACATGACTGCAAGTTGGCTGGATGATCTTGCCATAAGTAGGGAACAACTAAGCCACGCTGCCATCGATGGAGATTGTACATCTGGAAATACATGCTTTTTGGTTATCCGTCTAGTGTGTGGAGCCTCCAACCTATGCCTCGGCGAAATCCACGCCAGCGCCAGCGCTTGGAATCCCGTAAGCTTTGCAGCCTCAAACTTCCAACTAAATTCCAACTAAGTCTGTCTTTGTTGAGGGAACCCCTCTTTTGGCGTTTGCTTGTTTTCTTGTTTTGTGCGCTGAAACCAGACCAACAACGACTTACAAAAACAAAAAAAACAAAAAACGGAAACCAGATGAGAAAAAAAAAAAAAAGATTCTCTGTCGCCGACCCAACACAAAGAGACAGTCCCACGGGTTCACATCTCTCAGGCCAGCGCCCAAGGCCCGGTCCTGAGCCCAAGGGCGCCGAATTTCGCGGCGAAATCTGCGCGCGGTGCGTCGTCTACTAAACTGGACCAAGTCTGGTGGTGTTCCTCCTGCTCCTGAAACAAACCCACCCAAAAAAATTATCGGTGGCGAAATCTGCGAAGCCCTGCTAGAAGTGGCTAACTTTCAGTGGAGTTGAGTACGGAAAACCCATGAGTTGGCAAAAAGTTATTCAGTCTAGCCAAGCAAAATGCACCAAAGAAATGGCTGTGGTTGTCAAAACCCATAAGATCCCATTTTGGGGTTTTCGGTGCACCCATTTTAGAACCTTTTTCAGCGGGGACTGGGATGTGCACTGGGGGTACGGGATTTTGACCCATGGCCAAATGGTTTCCCTTTCAAAACGGGTCCAAAAATGGTAACCTCACCGTGCACTGAACCAAAAAGAGATGACAAGAAGAACCCACAGCACCTAAACATTTCACATGGCGCGAGCATTTCGAGCCTGGCTGCTTCTCCCCTTCCCCTCAAGAGTAATGCGATCGCCTCATCTGTCCCCGCTATCTCATGTCGTTTGGATCTTGACCTTTTCAACCAACATCGATGACATCGCCAGCCTTGGGCACTTTTGGCAGACTAGCGAGTCCAGCAACAAGGGGCGGAATACCCCTAGCCCACAATATGTTGCTTTTTCGAGTCAAACTCACCCCACAAAAGAATACGCTCAAAAATACAAACCTTCATTTGGATTGGTGGTGTGGGGATTTGAACCCCTTCTTGTGCAGGGTAGATGGGAAACCACCCCAACCAAAACTATCGAGTTGAAAAAATGTTGCTTCAGGCAAGCCACGAACTGGTGGGAAGCTGAACTGGCAAATGGGAAACCGCCACTCACCCCGAACTGCAGCAATGCATCTTCTCCGGCGCTTCGGGCTTCTTCAACTGCCCGTGCTCGTCGCAGATCAGGGACGGTGTCCTTGCAGCAGTTTCGGGGCTTCTAAGGCCGCAGGCCCTGCCAAGGAGAAGGAGCATACATGAAAGAAACCCCCCACTTAGTAGAAAGAAGAAAAACCCTTTTTAACCGGTTGGAATCCTTTCATCCATAAAAAAAACAAATGACTCAGAACTGGGGGGGGCTGGCTGGTATTTTTCAGGGGTCAACATGAGGACAAGCGCAGCAGTGAGATGAGAACGGGGAAACATAATGAACGCCCATGTGATGACAGAGTTCTTCACTAAAGGTCGCAAACCTTGCCACACTCCGACCAAAAACTCTAGACTATAACCCCATTTCAACCAGGTAGAACCTATACTAAAACCGCCAAAAGGGGTTTCGGACGCTGCTCATCTGTCTGCAGCCAAGGAGCGTGAGCTGTCCAATGTCACTGACCTGCCCAGGATGACTCGCCACTCCATGCAAACATCTTCAAGCAGGGTTCCACTTTTTGACCAATCAGGGGTAGACTTAAACCCAGGGGTGGGTCATTGCCCCCAAAAGCGGAACCCCTGGGTTTAAGCCTATCTTGGGGTAGTCAAAAAGTGGAACCCTGTCTTCCAGACCGGCACTGGCAAAACGGCCCTCACAAAAAGACGGCTTCCCTGCCTGGAAAGCTTACCCGCCATGCTGCCCAAGGAGCATAGGGGGGAGGATTGGCTCTCAACTCCGCGATCTCCTTCTGCAACTCCTGGAGAATTGACATACACCCAACTTGGGTGTGTTTTTCTTTGAGCTCCGATTTTGAGGCAAACGCATTCTACTCACTCTCCATCTGCCTGGTCAGTTCTGCGACTAACTAGGTTGCCTAGTTTATTCCATACTACTTTGCTGCTTGCTAAGATGCAGCTGCCCTTCAGCGCTCAACAGAATGGATTCAAGGGATGACACTCTTGGATACACTTGGCCTACTCGCCCTCAAGTCCTCGCTAGAGGAAACTCCTTTTGGGGACCTCCTGGGAATTTATTTTGGGAGTTTCGCAAAATTGCGAACCCTGTGGGTGTTTTGAAAAGCCGACCATTGCAGGAAATGGGCCGAATCCAACTTTGAGCAACACTCTTCTGGGATTCGTCTTATTTTGCAGGGGGGGGCTCCTTTTGAGCCTGATTGCATGTTTCACCTGGCTTTCAGGGAAGCCTGATTGCATGCTTTTCATTTCGCTGGGCCGATCTTGTTCCGCGAGTCCGCCGCGAGATTCTCCTGCAGGCTGAAGGGGATCTCGCGGCGGCATCGCTTGGCTGCTGGCTCCAGGTCGGCCATGGCACCATAAAAAATTGTCGGCTCTGGAGATGGTCGAAGGTCTTGATTTGGGCGAACCAGGGTTTGGCACCTGCAAATCCAACCCTTTTTTTTGGGGGGGGCCTGGGATCAATGGAAAGGCGCTCACTTCTTTCTTTGGGCTCACTCAGCGAACTGGGTGAACTGTGTCAATGAAAACCTTCGTTTGGGGCCTGTGTCAATGAAAACTCCCGCAGCTCATGAATTCAGAACCTCCGCCCAAAGTCTCAAAGGGATGACTCAAGCAAGCTGGACCCAATCGGCTTCCACAATGACTCCGCTTCTGGCAAATCGCAGCTGAGATGTTCTTTGCCACCTGAGTCACAAGCAAAACCTGATGCTGAACGGGTCTACTCAAAACCATGCAAAGAAATTAAAGGGTGGACACCCGCACCCATTTCTGGCTGGGACTGTCCTTTATGAGCCTTGATCTTCCCCCGGGTTTCGATTGCTCACAAGTGCAAATGCGGAAAGCAAATGCATTGCATCACCCCCTAAAATTGTGGCTGTCCCTTTGGTGTCCCTTCAAATCAGACCCAAAAATGGGACCCTCAAGAAAATCCAAGCCATCCATCATGTGCCGACATGCTCATTCAGCACTGTGGTACCGCAAGACATGCACTGCTCCTCCGTCCCCCCCCCCATTCTTCGCACCTCAACCAAAATACCCACCAGCATGTTGAGCATCATGAACGAGTTGAGCACTATGTAAAAAATGAACGCCTCGGCTCCAGTGCAATTCCGCAGGAACAACACGTTTGGCGGTGTGACTGCCTTTGCAGCTCGAGTCTGAAGCTGCATACAACTCAACACAAATCAAGAAACCGACATTCTTCAAGCGTTGGAAGTCAACCAACCCGTAAGCTTAACCTATCTATCTTGTCGTTCTCTTGGATCCCTCCTCCTCCTGTCTTGGATACACCAAGAAATTCAGCCCAGGTTCTGTCAACATCCAGTAGTTGTTCTGGGCACGGATGATGTCCTTGGATGAATCCGCTGAAGCTCAAGCTCAAACTGCTTGTTGCAAGTGTCTGACCAGCCTGCTAGCTGAATTGGGAAAGTGCTCCTCGAGGCAAAATGTCCCTCTCAAACGCGACCCCCCGACGATAATTGACCAGGGGTTTATTAAGATTTGGGGATTTGAAACCACGCCACCAATTGAAAGGACGCTGATAGTCTCCCTGGGTTCTCATTACAAAGGGGAAAAAAAACTCTTTCAAATAAGCATCCGAGCACTCGGTTACATCGTCCAGAATGGTACCCATGATGAGCAGGGTCAGCATGCTCTTGTCCATGCCCCCGAAATACTCGTGGATCTGCGCGGGTGCTGCAGTGCGGTGCATTTGAAGTTCCTTGAAGTCTCTAATGTTTGGTTCTATCAGCACGGCTATAAAGGTTTCTATAGGCCTCACTATGTAACAGCTACGAAATCAGGTAGTAGAACCACCTATTTAACCGGAAAACAAGGGTTTCAGGTGCTGCTCACCTGATTGAAGTGTGCCTCAACAAGGTCACATGTTGCATCTTCTTCTGTTTTTTGCAAATCTGCACAACCACGATCGTCGAATCCTGGCGCTTAACTTGCTCACTCAAGAACCCGCGGTGTTTGTGCTTTCAAGACAGGCGGCATCAAAGCAGGGTTGGGCAAGCATTGGTGTTAATAACCCGACCCTGGAACCCTTCAAAAGGGAAACCAAAACAAACTGGCCGAACCCGGCAAAGGAGGAGTACTTCATGATTGAAAGTGAATCTAAGAACTGCAATTTCTTGCACGCTGCTTGCCATTCAGCACGTTCTGACAGAGAGAACCTGCTTGCAGCAGAAACGCACGGAACCATGTCGTTGTTTCGAAACGCGGCGACATCATTCGAGCGTAGACGCCAAGTACAGCTGCAGTTTTGGCTCAGTTCTTGAGCTGGGTGTGCTTTGCATAGGTATCCATCGGGCTGCTAAGAATAATCCCAGCAGCACAATATTTGTCGACGTCACTTTGGAGGATTCCAAAAACATGCGTCTTTGCATTTCGGATGAAACCCTCGTGCCCCCTTCCCTTCTCTGTTAGCAAGCCGACAGATTTCCTTTGCGTGGCAATTGAAATACTGCGAACAGAATGATGCGCATGCTCTCCGTCGGGCGGGTCAATTGCACCTTGCTCAAAATAAGTTGGCCAAACGCAGAGTTTCAAGAGAGCTCACAAATCCCGGCCAGCACATCATGCAATTCCTACCCAGTGCTTCCAGTGACGACCACCGCAGGCAACCAGGTACGGCTACCTCCACGTTGTTCTTCATGGTTTTGCCTGGTTACCTGGTGCCTTCGTCCGAGGTTCGGGCCCTGCGAGGGTCGCCGGGGTCCAACTCCGCCAACTCCTCGTCGCTAAGATGTCCTGCCGCAAGCAGGAGAGTCATGAAAAGACCCTACAAGTGGGAGCAAAGCTTGGCATACTGCCATCGTTCCAAGGGACATTACCTTCCGCGGTCTTACTTCTGCCCTGACATTTTGCTGAGAGCTCGGAAAAAAAAAAAAAAAAAAAAAAAAAAAAAAAAAAAAAAAAAAAAAAAAAAAAAAAAAAAAAAAAAAAAAAAAAAAAAAAAAAAAAACACGAACTTTCGGAGAGACCGACCGCAAGTTGGTCCGGCGCCCGCCTTGATGGTATTCATTGGTGAACAGGATAGACCAAGTAAAGCTGATAATCACCTGGCGGGTATGCGTGTTGAAAAATGGGGTGACTCCCCAAAATGGGCGAGCCAGTCTTCAAGCCGGTTTCCTGCAAACACAAGCCCGAAAAGGATACTGTACCGAGCCTCAAAACTCAGACCCACCCCCTGACCCAAATCTGAGGAACTCAGGGTACCGAGCCTCAGGTTACAGGCTCGACCCCTCTTCAGAGGAGCCGCCGGCCCACAACCGTCTGAAGCAAGGCTAAGACCAGCACCAAGAGAACTGCCGTCCAGCCCACAGCGCGTGCCGCCGCGGTAATGCCTCCCCCGGAAGTTGCTGGCCGTTTTGGGGAAGCCGGCGAGGAGGACATGCAAAGAGGGCAGACGGCTCTGCCATGGAGATAGAATAGGATCATTGGCATCCTACTGTGGATGGTTGCGAAATCCATTTCGCACCACCTAAGAAATCCTGGAATGCATGATTCTCCTGTAAATACCAACAAACAATGGCTTCCACCACGGTCTCTCAAAGTGGTTCGCAATGGATTTCGCAACCATCCACAGTACCCTCCAGGTGCCTGAGAAGCTCACAAGAGATGAGGGCCTCTGTGTGAGACCTTTTGACTCTCTCCGACGGTCCGAGACCGAGCGATCGATAAGCACCTTTCAAGATCATCAGCAGTTGCGGGAACGCCCGCATCAGCTTTGCCATGCGAGTAATGCCTGAGCTCTTGGTATGCCCGCTTTCTCGAAGTCTGGCTGGTGAGAGCGTCTGCACGCATTCCGACAAGTTGAAGGCACCTGAAGGATGTACTTTAACAAAAGAAATTGTAGTTGGGTGCAACAAAAAAAAGCTTGCAGAAACGCGACCACGGCTGTCTAATTTGCTTGCTCGCACCCTTCGAATCTCAAGTTCCGCACCGCCATCCACCAAAGCCAACCGGGAGATTCGAAAACTGCGAAGGTTTGCTTCGGAAAGGGAAACCAACAGCATCCTGCTTGGTTGCTGCTGATCCCTCCGCAAAAAAGCTTTTTTCACTGTTTGGGGGTTTAGTTCGGAAAACCCAACTTGATTTCAACCAAAAAGCTAAAGTCTAAAGATCCGTTCCCCAAATGGCTGTGGGTCAAAAATATGTACCCAAAAATGGAACCCTGGTAAATGGACACTTGGACTACAACCTGCGGTCCCCTGCTGGTTTAATTTTGACCCACTCCCAAACAGCCGTCGAGTTTGTCCAAGGCCGCGGCGCAGCAAGCGCAGCAGCCTGCGTGGCGATCGACTGACCGGCGACGCATGGAGCAGTTTCTATGTTGATGGCAAGTGCCTTCACTGCCGAGGTATACCAAAGTAGATCTCCCCATTCCCGGGGATGTGCCCACAAGTAACGAGGATAAGAAAATCTGGAGGTTGGGCCAGTGCCACAAGCCCAGTGACTTTTGGTTCTACATACAGGCTTTACTAGAAACACCTGCCAAACTTGTCCAGACTGAGTCGCCCAGCAAAAAGTTGCGACTTTTTGCCGATAGGGACAATGATGGAAAACTCCCCAAGAAGCCCGGCAAAATGCCCCGAACGATGGGTTTTGTGCGTCATGGGCAAGTCAACTCCAAAAAGCCCGTTTCAAGGTGGAGCTTGATAATATCTGTGCGCTTCGGCAACCACATAATATACTTAAGAAAAAAACAACCACCCGGAGTAGTCCGCCTTTTCGGGATTCGTAGACTTCCGACTGGCTTTTTGTTAAGGCCCCGCCGGGCCGAGAAAAAAGACAACATAAAAAAAAAAAAAAAAAAAAAAAAAAAAAAAAAAAAAAAAAAAAAAAAAAAAAAAAAAAAAAAAAAAAAAAAAAAAAAAAAAAAAAAAAAAAAAAAAAAAAAACACGAGAGTCCGGACCACCCCCCCGCGCCGGAGGATGCTGAGCTGGCCCAGTCCCTGCAGGCCGCCGATGAAGGGCATGATCCAGGTCTCCCAGACCTCGATTCGCTCGAGCGAAGTGTCGAGAGGATTTGAGGGCCGGCTAGGGCTCGTTGGTTTAAACAGAATACAGCTATGGGTCTGGCTCTTCCAGCCAAGGCGCCGAAAACCTTTTGTTGGATAAAAAAAAGCCGCACCGCGCCTTAGTTGGAGTGTATATGGAGGTTTAGAGGGGTTGAAACCCCAAGCAGAGTTTGCTTAAACCACTGGCTATGATGATTCTTCCCTGGTGCTTGAACCATATTTTGCCTTTCAGGAGGGCCCGGCACCCCAAAAATTGGGTGGACTTCAGACTCAAAAAGAGGGGCAGTCTCAAAACATGTTCGAAAAAGCGCAATATATTGTGGAAGCACCCCATTTCAGAGGCGAACCTTCAGTTCTCGCGGGAACACCCCCCAGCAAGCTGATGGCTCTGATTCATCAAGGGTCGACATGGCGTGGGCGCGTTTTGTTCGAGCGGATGAAAGCCGAATCCGTTTGGGGGGGGGCCACCTAAGAAAGGTACTCCCAATGTTGGTCCCGGAGGAAGCAATCCATCCTAGCCACAAAAGTTTTCAGGATGCCCACTGAAAGAAGACACCCTCCCTATTAATCAACCAGGCGTCTGTTCATTCGGGTTTCCCTTTCAAAGCCAAACCGGAAAAGGGGGTCAAGGCGCCATGTTGAGAAGCTCCCACCTGAGTGTGTGCCTGCTCTTTGGAGTTGGTACCCTTTGAAGAGGATTCGGATGTTAGGCTGAAAAGAGCCCTTGGGGTCCGACACATCGATCCGCTTCAACAACTTGATGAAGAGCCATCAGAGACTGCTGGATTTCGGGGGTGTTCCCGCGAGAACTGAAGCTTCACCTCTGAAATGGGGTGCTTCCAACATAATGAGCGTGTGCCATGTTTTTTCGGCTGCCCCCAGTTTTAGTGAGTTGAATCAAGAGGAAACCCACCATGTTGGGGGTTCCCTGTCTTAACCCCACACCCAAGCCTGGTGAATCCTCAAATCCCATTCGCTCAGAAGGAAGGACTAAGCGACTAAGCGCGGGGCCATGAGGGACACTAAAGCGGCGTCAAAGATGAACCACCCATCCCGCAGGCATTGGCATTTTTGCCTGTACCTGCGGCCAAAATTGCCTAACATTGCCTGACATCGTGATCCATGAACAAGGACCAAACTTCCACATCTCCTCAGCTCCCTCTTTAGGCAAACACTGGCTCCTTTCCAACCACCAAGCTAAAACCTTCAACACGGGTTGTCTCAAAATACGGGACCCTCCAAATTCGTGGTTTCTCCTTGTGTTCCCCTAAAACACCCAAACATGGGTGATTACAGAGCTCCAGAAAAGGAGCTACGGCCAGATGTGAACAAAAATTTGCGCACGCGAGAAATCTGATGAGGATTTCGATGGTGAAGTACGTCGCGAAGAAGACTTCCGTGACAATGAAAAAGACCTCGTGGACAGACAGGGTTCCAACTCAAAGCAAGCTCAACCTTCAATTGGCAACCAAAAGGAGGTTGCTCAAAATGGTGGGACCCCTTCTTGGTTGGCATCTAAAGGAAAACCAAAACGAAACCTGTTTAGGGGGGACCGCTATTTTTTGAGAAATCCCGAAAAAGTGATGATTACAATGACCAGGTTCCCTACATTTCACTCTCACCCATGCAACCAACAAGTGATGTTTACCATGATAAAAGTGGACATAAAGGCAATCAGGCTGGACGTCTGTTTTACCAAAAAAAGAGAAACACAACGATGGAGAAACACAAAGGGGAGGAGAAAAAAAAGGAAGAACAAAAAGAGGGGAGAAAAAGAAATGCGGAAAGACTGCGCACAAGGATCTGACTTGGGGAGCTTTCCGATTGCGATTCCGTGATCTGCTTTTGTGAGTGCCGGAAACCAGTTCGGTCGGTTTCCTTTTGGGCCGCTCCAAATTGAAAATTCCAAGACATGGGATTACCCTCAACTTTTTTGGAGATCGGCTTGAAACCGCTTCTGTTTCAAGTCTCAAACCGAAACACTCTTGAGTCTGTCTTGCTTTAAGGCCACCTTTTCTGGGATTGAAGGGACGCCAAGAGAGAACCAACCATGTCAAGGATTCCACTGTTTTGAGACGTCATTCCTGTCGGCCAAGGACGACCTCGTTTTCCTGCAGCCGGACTTTGAGCCGGGCGTTGTGCTCAAATGCTCAAACTCCTTTGCGCCAGTCATGAAGACAGGGGCTATGCGTCGAAATAGGACAAAGACGTTCAAAGTTGGGTTGTGTAAGGCTTTCCAAACATGGTGAGAGAATCGGTGAGGAAAGTTGTCTTCCTACAGGGGTCTGTGCACCTCCTGAGGGTTGGTTTACCTGGCAAGCCGTTTACCAAGACGTTCCTTTTCACAAGCGGGGACCAAGCGGCCTCGGCCCGATCACTGCCCCGAAGCCCCCGGCAGGGCCATCGTAGAGGTTTGCAGGTGTAACGAACCTGCGAAGGTGTCATTTTTTGAGGATACCCTGTTTTGAGGAACTCAAGGAAAACCAGCAATTTTGAGGGACCCCCTATGTTGAGACAAACCCCTATGAGGTGTGTGTGTGTGTGTGTGTTGAAATACGGGAACCCAAAGTGCTGGTTTGCCTTGGGTTTCCCTTTGATACAACCACTATGTTTTTTTGGCGACCCTTGCAGGTAGGTAAAAGGCAAACCAAAAAGGACAGTCGCAGATTTGCGAGAGGTCGTTTTTTATCTGGACGGTACCCAAGCACATCTTCCCTGAAGTCCAAGAGACATTTTCTTGCTGTCCCACAAAATTCCAGCGTCAACTTGATGAATTCAAAGCCCTTCAAATCTGGCGCCCGGCGCCCTTCTGTCGCTTCCAGCCAGACCTGGGACCTTCTGGGACCGCGCGGCAGAATGTAAGCTGAGATCGATACATCAGGAAGCTCACAGCCATCCGACCGGTGAATCTGAAATTGCTGATATCTTCCCCACCCCCCACCCCCCAACCCCCCAACCCCCCAACCCCCTCTCAACCCCCAACAACCCCCAACCCCCCAACCCCCCAACCCCCCAACCCCCCAACCCCCCAACCCCCCAACCCCCCACCCCAACCCCCCCAACCCCTTTGGCCATTCAAAACGGGATCCCCATTTTGAGACTGCAAGAACCGGTTTTTGTGGACATACAAACTCCGAGCGAGATGTGCGCCAGCGCCTTGCTGAGTAATCAGCACCCACGCCAATGGCCAGCGCGTTAAGCACAATGATACCTGCACTTAAGTCTACTGGCACAAGTGCTTGTGTGTGCAGATCAGTGCAATGACCAAGCATGGTACAAAGATTGGACATGGAACCAAAGCAGAAGCAGTGCCGTCCAACAAATCTACTTCAGACCAGTTGTTCGACCAAATATGCCCGTGGGTCAAAACCAATGGTACCATTTTGGGGTAGGTGCACCACCCATTTTAGAACCTAATTTAGGGGGCATTGGGATGTTCACTGTGGGGTACGGGATTTTGACCCATGGCCATATTGCTCCAAAAAGCCACAGCTTCGCATCTGCAACCGACAGGGCACTGATGGTCGTGAGCTCGAAGTACTTGTTCTTCGCGATTTTGCCGAAGACACTGACGATTCGCACGAATGGTCAGCTTCCCGCAAGGAGGAGGGGTGCTTTTAGGGGTAGGTTAAAAGAAGACACATTCAAATCCCCAAACCACCTGGCAAGCTTGCCTGGCAAGCCTGCCCTACAACGACTTCAGCATGAGTGAAGGTTCTCTGAGTGATGCACACTTGCACCTGATTTCCAACGCTTTATCTCTGCCCATGTGTTCCTCTCCTTCTTGGGCTCAGAAAACCGGTTGCTCCATGGGGTCTACGGAAAAAAAAAAAAGAAAAAAAAAAAAGGAAAAGAAGCCCGGCCCGGCTCACGCTCCCAAAGTCCCGGGCTTGTCAGAGAACTTCTTCTGCAGCACCATGGTCTGCGAAGGGCCCTGGCACCGAATGGGAAAGCACATCAGAAGCGCTCGCTCGGGGCGGAAAGAAGGTCTGGTGGATGGTGGGTACTAAGGTTTAGCACCCATCGGACCCATCAACTGCTTGGTTTCCTTTGGGAAGATTGAAGACGGGCTATTTGGCACCTAGTCTCGGAAAACAAAATTAATATGTTTTTTTCGTGTTAAGAAAAAGTTAGTTGACCCCTCGGTGTTGTGATTCCCCCAGCAGAAAGCTTCAAACCTGCCCCCGGTCACCTGGGTGTTCCGTTCCCAAGCGCAAGGGGTTCTTGTGTCATTCATCTGACCACCCAAAAAAATAATGGTTTCCTATCGTATCGTGTGCCAATTCTGTCCTTTAGGGCACCCCCGTCTTCGCCTGGGCACCACCTTGCGCCACCTCTTCTTTGAAGTTGTGGATGTCCCCAAAGAGGTTCCTGGGCCACGCATCGCGAAGGACACGGTTTCCAGAAGAGGCACCCAACGGAATAGTCAAGCAGCTTCAAACAAAAGATGCAACTCCCATGCAACTCCTGGGCATACCCTTGGAAAGAACTGGCAACAAGTGTGAAGGTTTATGAATGGCTCAGAATGCAGGAATAAAACAACATGAATGAACCGGGTTTTCCAAACAACAACAGCTGGATTTCCGTGTGTGTGTGTGTGGTGTGTGTGTGTGTGGTGTGTGTGTGGTGTGGTGTGGTGTGGTGT